GGATGTGGCGGGAGGTAGAGGGATCGAGGCAAGCAAATCCTAGCGAGGTTAAATGCCAAAGCCCAGTCGTGTGGGGTAATTGAGACCCAGGGAATGCTCTGGACCACCTGCCCTAGGAATTAACTGTACATCTTAGGAATAAAGGAATATTTCTGATGAGTAGTATTGAAAAAGCCCCCCTAACGCGTAGGTTGGCTGCTTTCTTTTTAGCCTACAACTGGTGTCCTGTACAAAGAGGATAACTACATTATAATGACCACTGTGGATAAAGAAAAATACAAATGCATGCTTCCGCTGGTAGCAAGTGGCCAGGAGGTAAGTCCTTTCTGTGATGACAAACTGTAGACAAGCCTTTACAGTGGCTTTTCAGTCACTTTTCTTTTTTTTCTGTAAAATAAAGATTTTTTTTTTTCCTCTCTAAGGAAAATCCTCTGTAGAATGCTTCACAATTGCACAGTTCATAGGCCACGCCTTCACTTTGTATTACATACTAGCTCTGTACGAAGTGGGGCCAGTCTGAACAATCTTACTTGGCAGCAAACAGTTGCTGTAATGTTTCATTTATAGAATCCCAGAATGGTTTGGATTGGAAAGGACCTTAAAGCCCACCCAGTCCCACCCCCTGCCATGGGCAGGGACACCTTCCACTAGACCAGGTTGCTCCAAGCCTCATCCAGCCTGGCCTTGGACACTTCCAGGGATGGGGCATCCACAACATCTCTGGGCAACCTGTCCCAGTGCCTCACCACACAATTCCTTCAGGGCAGGAGTCAATGATGTTTTGTATCTTAATTTTCAATAGGATTTTGTTTTTAAACTATTGCAAATGAACATTAACCAACCAAACTAGTTTTTATTTTAACACAATGAATTGTACTTCTCTTCTAGGAAGAAGAAAAGGACTATAAAGGTCCTACTCCAGGAGAATTGCTGGAACCTCTTTTTAAGCAAAGTAGCTGTTCATATAGAGTATGTTACTTCCATGTTGATAATTTCAATGCTAATCAGAAGTCCACAATCCTTTCTGTGTCAAGGTTCAGTGTAGTAAACTGGATAAATACGTCTCAGGTTCTAATTCAATCCAGAATAAGTTCTCTACAAATTTATGACTATATATCTTAATATTGCTGATAAAATTCTATATAATGGAACATCTCAGGATTCGAATAAACTGGCTTGCTACAGGAGCAATTAAAAAATGTGGGTTTCAAATACTGACTTCTGGGCATCATGCCACAATGTGTGACAGTCGAATGAAAAGCATTTCTCAGAGGGTGTTAGAAAACCGAAACAGGCTTCTGGGTATTCTGAGAGTTTTCCGGTTTCTCAGCTGTCATCCCATGTCAAACACTCTCATCTTTACAAGAACAAGCCTAATGCCAAACGAGTTGGTACTGGGAACCGGGGAGAGGAACAGTGGCTGAGTATTACACCTACGCAACGTCCCACGCAGGTCCTCGAGGGGGACGTGTGGGTCAAGCACAACTGCTAAACAGCCCGTCTCCACGGCGGTTGCCAAAACCAGTCTGTGCTGAGCCACTGCAGCTCAGCCCCAGCGATGGGGGCGAGGGGGGCACATTTAGTCTTTACATCTTATTTTTTTCATCCTTGGTTGTGCCTGTGTGGAATTTAAGGAAACTTTGCCTGTTGTGTTTGTTTGGGATGTCATCGACATGCTTGGGGAATGCTGAGACCGTTCCTGGTGCTGTTGTTTTCGAGGTTGCACTTCCTTGCTGCAAAGGCCAAAATTCTGGGGCAACGTATCTAATCAGAAATAGCTTTTTAATTATTCCTTATATATAATTTTTTAAGATTGAATCTTACTGGACTTATGAGGTTTGCCACGGAAAACACATCCGCCAGTATCACGAGGAGAAGGAAACGGGACAGGTAGGCTTCTTAGAATTTAGTATTTTCAGCCCCCTTTTCCACTGGCATGTACAGACTTAACTCCTCTGGGAGACCTGAATTCCTGTACGCTTGAAAAAAGTATGGAAAACGTTAACTGAAACTTGTTTTAACTTCTCTTGATTGTAGAAAATTAACATCCAGGAATACTACCTGGGGAATATGATGATAAAGAACCCATTCTCAGAACCAGGTTTGTCTGAGGTTGATTTTGCTGATGCTCATTTAAATCTTCGGGTTTTAATTAATACTGCCTGAGAAATACGCTGTAGAAAACGGATTCCCAGTGCAACGCAGTGTTGCAGATTGCTGTTCTTGTAACAAGATGGGCTGTTTTCAGTTCATTCCTTTTCCGCACCTTACATTGCATCCATCCCGTCAATTTTGCAGCGCTAATTGAGTAACTAATCTGCTGTAATTAATTAGTGTCAGGGGAGAAAAGGCCCAGTATGACAACCGGAACCAATGCGTGCCAGGCCAGACATTGATAACGTAGCCTGTTGCCCCTCTGCGTGGGGAGAAGCGTCCTCAGACTCTGAGCTGGAAAGTCTGTGGTGGTACCTGCCAAAATCTGCTTCCCTGGGTGAGCACTTTGGCAGTAGATGAGTCCAAAGAACTCCAAAAATCCGCGTTTCTTTATTAGTGAGTTACAGCGCTCGGTTGCGCTGGCGTTCAGCCGGTGCGGAGCTGCCCAATTCTCCCTAGATGCTGCTGGATGGAAAACAAAGGGTTTCATTGGACTTACGGATTCTTTTGGGGGGGTGGATGCCGAAATTAGGCGTGATGGTACTTAAAGTCATCAGATCCGAGTCTTTTGGGCTGTCGAGCCTCCGTCCTCGCTGCAGAGGGGGCAGACTCTATTCTTGCCACGCTTCCCATACAGCAATTCACGCTGGTTCTCTGAGAAAACAGTAACCGTTGGTTTCTCCAAGCATTAAGAGCTGATTCCACAAGGGTGACGCGGTCAGCTTGGAGCAGCTGAATGGGCAACCGCAGAGCCGAGCAGCTTAGTTCCTGATGGGGTACGCACCGCCTCCGGAAGGAGTTTGGAAGGCTAAGGAGAGCTCTGGCCTGCGAGAGTGTGCACTCCGTGCCCTGTAATGATGTGTTAAGCCCACAGAACTCCTGTTGCGTTTGCTCTGGAGCCCAGGTCACTGTTTATTGCCTTTCTTTCCTCTTCTGCACCTGCAGAACGTGGGCTCTTGGCAGTGGCTACACCGTGTACAGCAGATAGACAAAACGTACACACTGCTCTGAATATAATGTCATTTTATTTCAAGTTTGCAGGCGTTACACTTACTTGTTCTTAATTATTCCCTAGATCAAGAAGAGAAGGAGAATCCAAAAGAGAGTGCCAAAGAGGTAAGTGAAAACCACCTACTTCAACTTTTGCCGTCAGTAGTAGAGGCAGTTTATATGTGATGAGATGATGTAATTAGTTCCGTACCAAAACCAGCATCGCAAAAGGAAGCTGTTCCGGAGCTGCACCCTCCTCGCTTTCCATTTCGGTCCCAGCTCGGAAAGCTTGCTTAGCCTGGCTACTCGGATTTCTTCCCCTTCTACCTATTTACGCTGAAGTTGCGCTGATCTGAAGTGGCGTGAAGTACGTACCCTTCTTCTGGGAAGACAAGACGCCTAGCCCCAAGGTCACCTGATGGTCTAGTGACCCCTGGTTTTCCAGCTACGCCAGCGATCCCCGATCCCTCACTGATACTTTTGGGTAGGGAGACAGGCTTAACAAAATCCTACAGCCCCAAACCCCCGAAAGCTTTCTTAGCTGATGTGGTGACCTGTAAAAGTCTGTGCTTCCCTTTTCCATTTGTTTAGGTCCCCAAACCCCGTTCTCAGAAAATACGCGTCCCTGGTAGGCATTTTGGAGGTGAGGGAGCAGACCCAAGTTGGAGTGTGGCCCGTTCTCGTGGCAGGGGCAGTCACACCTCTTTGAAACTAAAGTTCTTTGTAATGTAGCTTACTTTTCTTTTGATTTCAGAGGAAGTCAAGTCCTCTACTCTTTTTATTTTTTTTTTTTTTTTACAGTATTCATATTGTATTTGGCTGGAATCTCTAGTCGTGAAAGGGACAGAAAACCCCTGGCTGGTGCTTAAAGGAACCAAAAACTGGAGGTTTATCTGAAGCCCTACCGGGGAGCCTTTCAGTCGGGTGCAAACAGCAGCTATTTCCGTCTAGATTTCTTGAACAGTTACCTTCAGTGAAATGTGCAGGCACAATTCATCAATTTTTAAGGAAAAATCAGTTGTTTCATTCAGGAAGAGAGGAAGGAAAAGCACTGGTACCCTTTTTGTCAGCTCCTTTTTACACAACCAGCAAATACTTCCCACCTTTTGACTGAATGTCAAAGGATAGAGTGGATAAGTGACCGGAAGCCAAGGAGCGCCTGAGCAATTAAGCTTCATTCTTTAACCCCATGAATGCCTCGTTGCTTCCTTCGCGGTGAAACAGTTTTCAGGGGAGGGTCAGTAGCCTGCGACGGGGTTTGAAAAGCAAAGTAGGTGAGATGTGGAAGGGTCTCGGCATCCTGACCACGGAAGGCACCACTGCTTACTTCAGGGATGCAGAAAAGTGGGATCCAGGCAGTGTGTATCGTTAATTTTGTTAGCTAGAGGAAGAGGTGGCGTGGGATATTGTGGATAACCCAGCCGGACACGCCGGGAGGTGCTGTGCGGGTATCGGGATGACTTCGCAGGGGTGCGTTTAGGCTCGGGCAGCCCGTGCGGAGAAAGCAGTCGGCGCTCGCGTGGCTTGGCGCCCTTGTGCAGCGCGGAGCTGGAGGTGGCGAACCAGAACGTGCTTGGATGTTGCAGGAACACCCACTCGCTACACGGGGCCTGGTTTCAGTCCAGTAGTGCTGGCTCTGCGCTGTGTAACAATAACTGTTGTTTCAGAAGAGGCGAAGGAGCTTTACTGTGGTTCTTCACTTTTGCTTTCTTTCACCTAGACACCTACAAAAAACATAGAAGGGCAGATGACCCCATACTATCCCGTAGAGATGGGGAATGGCACACCTTGCAGCTTGCGACAGAACCTGCCCAGATCAAGCACGGTGATGTACATCTGTCATCCGGAAGCTAAACACGAGATCCTTTCCGTGGCGGAAGTTACGACCTGCGAATACGAAGTGGTCATATTGACGCCGCTCCTGTGCGACCATCCCAAGTACAGGTACGGCCCTCAAACTAAGGTTCTGGCTTTGCGCGCTCATCCGTTCCTCTGCGTGGATGCGTCTGTGCAAGTCCTGTGGCCAGCTGCGGTTCCTGGTACAGAGCTGCCACACTGGTGCTTTGGCAAGTGCAGTTTGGTCAAGTCTTAAGTTTCCCTCCTGAGTTGCGCAATATTTGCGTTTTGTAAGTCTCGAGTGATCGGTCCCGGATGAGAAGCAGAGGGGACGCGTAACTCGAGTTTCAGCAGGTAGGTTGCCAGCCCTGTCCTTCTGGAGAAACGCGGACGGGGCGTGAAGGCTGCAGGCAGGTTAAGGACACTGTCTCCTCTTTGTTCCTGAGTTCACGGTCTCGGGGGATCGCCCTCATGGTATCCCAAGACCGCAGATGGTGTATGTGCGTTAGATGTGCGCGCAGACTTCAACTTCTCTACTTTCGGGAAACAAAAATACGCTCTTCAGCCGTAACCTGGATGTTTGCTTTAGCAGTACTCCCAATTTAAGGAGCTCCCACCTCTGCCCTGCTTTCTTGCCTTCCCTTCAGGTGTATAAGTCTTTTTTTTTAACGAATAATTCATAATTTCAGTGTTACTTTCCAAAAATCAAGTTTAGAATTCTTTTTTTTCCACTTCCTAAATTGTACCATGCACCTGAGGGATACCCCTAGTCTCAGCAGTAGATTTTTGACCTTTCAGGGGCTGTAAACAGACTTGCGCAGTGAATATGACTCACAAACGAAGCAGGAGGATGGACAGGAGTTTGGAATTTCCTAACCAGATATCAGAACAAGTATTTAATCGCTGTTCTGAAACAGGCAACGAAGACTGTAGGACAAAATCCCAAATCCTGCATTTTACCGGGCCGGCTGGAGTGAGTTGTGCCGCTGATAAATACTTAGTGTCGATTACAAATGAATCTCGTGTAGATGGGTTTGGTAACACCGTGTTACCTGTCGCATACTGCACTACTACCTCTTTACTCTGAGTCTTTTAAGCCTCCGTATCGGGAGAAGAACAGAAGGCACGCAGGTAAATTGTTCTGTCGTTGGACAAGACCAAAACCCTGCCCTCTCCTTCCAGAGGGAAGGCACGCACGGCTTCCTGGCCGCTACCAGGAAATACTTGAACAGAGTAGATCCGCGTTCTCCCGGTTACGTCAGCCTAGTTATTTACTAGGGTGGGTGGAGACGGCGGCTGGAAACGCCGCTCCGCAGGCTCTTTTCAGGGGGACAAGCGACGAAACGTGAACAAGTGCTCCCCTTGTCGGCAGGATTTTCACCGCGTTGTTCGCTTACAGCAGTGAAATACAAAGTCTTTTAAAGTGACGTGTCGCTGCCTCGTTCGGACAGGTTAAGGGCCTCCCCTGTGAATGACATCTTCTGCCAGTCCCTGCCAGGCTCCCCGCTGAAACCCCACAATCTGGAGCAGCTGGAGAAACAGCAGGAAATGCTGAAGATGCCCTTTAGAAGGGTTAAGGAGGTAGGATTTCTTGAAGTTTAAATAGAAAAAAGTCCTTGTTTTCCATGCTGTAGCACAAACGAGTCTCAGTCCCGTGGAGTAAGCTCTCTTAGCCAACTTTGTAAGACCATGCCGGTCTTTCAGGCGGTCTTTAGGCTTCCTGAAACCATGTCTCACTGAATTTGTTTGGAAGGAAAACAAAGCAGTTTGGGGCTACTGATTTAAAACTTCCGTAGCCGCCTTCTCCTGCAGTTACAAACGTGTCACGGTTTTGGCTTCCCGTCTGTTTTACAGCCGTGCTGTAAAACGCTTCCGCGCCCTTTCCCACAGCCTGCTTCAGCTCGCGCGCCGTAACGTCGGGCTGCCTACGAGGCTTCGCCAGGGGCGCGCGCCGTCTCAGCGGGCGCGGGCGCTCGCGTGTGCTTTGATTTCAGGAAGAAACGAATTCGGCGAAGTTTCCATTCATAAGCCTGTCGCTGTGGGAAGCCACCAGCTGTTAACGGTGGGAACGACCCACATCTCCAAACTGACCGACGAGCAGCTTATCAAGGAGTTTCTTAGCGGTTCCTACTGCTTCCATGGGGTGAGAAATGAAGCTGTGCATCCTACAATAGCCATTCCTTCGTTGCTTTACGTGTGTGCTTAGGGTTCCCCTGAACTCTGATAGTTGTTTTCCTTCACATCCAATAACTGCCTTTCCCTGCAGCCACATGGGAAGGCTTATCTGCCAGAAAGGTGTCTCTAACTTTTCTCTTAAAACTCAGGCTATTAGAGCAAACAGTGACATGAAAGCAGATCATGGGAACTGGGCTAATTACGTTAACGAGAATTAAAAAACCAGTCTGGTAAAACTCATGGAGAGAACAGCCAGCGCAGAAACAGCATCTGAAGGTTTACCCGCCTTTGAGCGAGGAAGTACTCCTTTAAAAGCTGAATAGGAGGGATGCAAAGAGTGTCAGGAATTCAGCCTTGTGTGGCCCTTCCAAGAGTCTACATAAATAACTCAATCCTCTTTGCTTAAATCTTGGAATAGCTGGAATTCCCTTGCCTATGTCAGTTGGTCTCGTGAGAGATTGTCCCTCAGTGCAAACCTTGATTCGACCTGTCTGGGTAAGAGGGAGGGAGTTCTACAGCCGAAACAGCCAGAGCTTCAGGGTCTGGGTGGAAGCGGGTGTGGTTGTCTGGGGGGTTTGGTTTGGGTTTAATGCCGAGGTTGTGCCTCTCCCCAGGGTGTCGGTTGGTGGAAGTACGAATTCTGCTACGGCAAATACGTTCACCAGTATCATGAGGTAGGCTTAAACACTCGATGGTGGTGGGGGGAAAAGGGATGGAGAATCTGGCTCTGATCGGGGAAAAAGCAGCATCCTTCTCTGGGCTGATCTTGGGTTTCGGAAGAGAAATCCTCCGAGGGCCGCCGAAGTTTGCGCAGGGGATGTACCGTGTCAGGAGGGGGCAGTGACAATCCGAGCTGAAAGGACGGGGCGGGGCGGGAATGCTCTTCTGGTCATGGAAACACCCTTATCGGCTCACACAGCCTGGGGGGCTGCTCTGAAGAGACCATCCACTTGACCCTAATATGAGATCAGCCACAGTGTGTCCCAAATGGAAGAACATGTTGTGTAATTATCAGCTTTTCCCCTTTTAGGATAAGGAAAGTGGCAAGACTTCCGTGGTTGTGGGTACCTGGAGCAAGGAGGAGCACATGGAATGGGCCAAGAAGAATGCTGCTAGAACCTACTCCCTTCAAGAAGATGGCACACAGACGGTCAGGTACGCACACCGGCACCGTGGGTTCCACTCCCGTTTCCTCTTCCTGAGGTGGCCTCGTACTTGAGCTGGAGAAGAGTAAACCCCCGTGCCCCTTTCGCAGCGTGCGACTGCTCGGTTTGCGTTTCGGTGTGTAGATTTCCCCCCGCCCCAGTGAATATGCCACACAGGAAAAGGCAGCTTTGGGCATGATGCTGAGAAAATCCTGCACAAGTGAACAGCCACTTCCTTCTGCAGCAGCTGAAACAGAGAGTGTTACTACTCGGCTTTGTGTACAAAATCACGGGGTCAGAGAATCACAGAACGGTTTGGGTTGGAAGGGACTTTAAAGATCATCCAGTTCCAACCCCCCTGTGGGTTGGAAGGGACCTTAAAGATCATCTAGTTCCAACCCCCCTGCCATGGGCAGGGACACCTTGCACTAGACCAGGTTGCTCCAAGCCTCATCCAGCCTGGCCTTGGACACTTCCAGGGATGGGGCATCCAAATGTGTGGAGACCGTGAGACACTGTATTACAGGAGGTAGCTGCGTGCTTAAGAAGCGTTTAACGTTTCCAAACCTTTCTGTTCTGCTCTTTTGTGGCAGGATGGTGTCTCATTTCTACGGCAACGGAGATGTTTGCGACCTAACGGACAAGCCAAGGCAGGTGACTGTGAAATTGAAGTAAGTTAACTTCTAGTAAACGGATGTTTTGTGCCTCTGGTGCCTGTGTCGGAGGGGACAGCCTCTGTCACCTTCATAACGCACCGAGAGCAACAGCTTAGTAAAAACGCCATGGACACTAAGGAAAGAGATGGTGTAGTTTGGTGCTTCGTACGCGGTAAACGCCACAGCGTTTCTCTTCCGTTTTCAGATGTAAAGAATCCGACTCCCCCCATGCCGTGACCATATACATGTTAGAGCCTCATTCTTGCCAATACATCCTTGGGGTACGTAAAGACGTTCTTGAATTCCCTACGATCCGGTGCCTCTTGGTAGGGGCCAGCTCCCGGCACGTCCCTTCCGGTGACCCTCCGTAGAGGAGGCCTGCAGCGTGCTTTAGCCCTGAGGCGGAGCTGCTGACCAAGCGCTGCCTTGTGTTTGGTTGCATTTCCTCAGGGAAAGGCGGGTGGTCACTAATTACAGGAGTTGCATTGTTAATAAGCCTCAGAGGTCATGGCCACAAGCAGAAAGCACTCGGTTGCGTTTTACGAAGCGATGCTGGAGTACCGCCCCTCTTGCGACCTGTTGTAAGTTAATCGCTGATTTCGCAGCCTTTAACGGGTTCATCTCTTATGCCCAAGGTGGAGTCTCCCGTCATCTGTAAAATTCTGGATACAGCGGATGAATTCGGGCTGCTTTCGGTGCCCAGCTAAGCCCGCGCAGCAAGCCAGCCCTGACAACGGCCCCGCGGGCGTTCCCACGTTCACGTCCCCTCCGGGTGAGGAGAGAGGAGCTGTCCGCCCGCCGGCTCACCAGCAGCATTCCGTCGGCCGAGGGACTCGCCCACCACTTTGTGTATAACTGTCTGTATATAAGAGGTTATCGATAAACTTTTAATGATTAAAACCTTGTCTGGCACTCCCGGCCTGCCTCTCGCCTGACACAAGCGGTCGTCGCTGCGCTGGGAATCGCCAGCTTCCGAAGGGCAAAGCAAACACGGTCGGGGCTCAAGCGGAGGAGTTCAGCTGCCGCGGGATGAAGAAGCGAAGCAACGTTTCGTGCCCGGGAGCCTTCAGCAGCTGCTGCACCACCGGCGTTTGTGCTACTGCCATTCCTTTGTCCCAACACGCGTGTTCCCACGGGCGGATTGCTGTGAGCGGTACGGATGTCGCAGTCCTTCCTCCTCCCCTACTCCTTCTCCCAGCCTGCCTTTTCCTCACGTTGACAGCGTAGGGCTCGCCTTAGCGTGCTTATTGTGCCGAACGCTGCCACCTCACAGACCAAGTTACGCGTGCATCCTGCAGTCGCGGTGCCAGCGTGGGGCCGAGCGTGCCCAGAAACCCCGAGCTCCCAGCTGCGGACGCTCCCCCCGTTCAGCTCCGGTGCAGGAAACCCTTGTGCAAGGTCTGGGGGCGGAGCTGGGCAGCGTTTCGCCCCGCAGCATCCCTGCGTGTCGGCCCGCTCCGATTCCTCTTCCCTAAAGCCGTTGGGCAAGGCACAGGGGTGGCGTAACTGCTGTCGGACAGGCATCCGCCAGCCGGATACCCAAAATACCAAGTCAAACCGCTCGCCTGGTGCAATAGGAGAACCCAGTTTCCACAGAGTAGGAGAAAACCAAAACAGCAGGGGCAGGATGAATCGGCATTTAAATCCAAGTCATCGTTCCTGCTCATATCCCTGTTCCTGTTGGCTTAGCGGTGTGACTGAGGGAATGAAAAAAAGGAGAAGAGTGTCTACTTGTATTTCTTTTTCCCTTGGAAGAGAGTTTTCTACCCAGATTTTTTTCCCCCCTGAGCTTCCTGTGAAGCAAATAACCAAAAAGTTACTTCAGTTTTAATCCTTTAAACCCCACAGCTTTTAGAAAAGCTTCGCAGGAGCGTTGAGCAGCGGCTTCTCCAGCTGCAGTTACCCCTTAGCAGCCCGAATCCCAGCTCCCTGCTGCAGGCTGCCATGCGCTCGGGTCCTGGATGCATCCCAAGGCAACACACAGCACGAAAACACCGAGCCCACGCTTAGGCTTAGCGTCCGAAGGCTGAGCCTGGCAAGGGGCTGGACCAATCCCCCCGTTAAGGCCGTGGCAGCAGGTGGAAGGGGTGGATTTGTGCAATCCCTTGCCATTGTTTTATTTGGGATCAAGGCTGCCACGTAGCTGCTTGGCTGCTCTTTGGAAAGGCAGAGTGGACACAGCCCTCAGGTCGCCGAGCGCTCCGGCCCTGGGTCTGGGGAGGTGCGTGCCCCGCGGCAGAAGGCAGATGGGTAGCGTGGGGGTGTTGGACGTCCTTGGCACCTGTCGGGCTCAGTGGTATTTTGGGAGGAGAAACCCCAGCAGGATGAAGCCCTCCCTTGTGGCAATGAGAGACGAGAATAGTTATTTTGTAAAGAATTCCGCTTCCCTGCCTGGGAGGGAAGTCGCTGGCGTGATGGGGAAGCACAACCTCTTTGACTAAGCAGCCCTGGCGCCTCTGCATGCCGTCGGTACCAACTTGTGCCGTTTTAAGAGCTGTTGCCAAACCCGTGAAATCCGTACCTGCTTCTCCACGTCCCTCAGCCTCCACTTCCCCTTGCAGAGGAAGTCTCACGCTCGTGGCTGTGCCCACAAATCCCCAAAGATAGAGAGCGTGCCTTTTTCCACCGCCCGCTCCCGTCTCTCCCAGCCCTACAGCTGATTTGGGAGGGAACCACCGAGGCGGGATCGAGGGGGGCAGGGAGGGTGCACGCAAAAACCCCACGGGCACAGCCGACCAGGAGTTCATGCTGCGAGAAACGGTCGATCCCGGCGTCGTTCTATGTTCTACCGCGTTCGAATCTGAAAGGAACACGCGACTTGCTGCTTGAACCCTCTCCCAGACAAGCCCTGGGGCGCGGGAGGCGGTCGGCACCAAAACTGGGGAAAAACCAGCCTCTTCTGGTACGCGGAAAGCGCAAAGCAGAACTGGAGGGCTGCGGGCTGCCGCTTAGGTCGACACCCCAGATTCCGCGCGGGTTTGCTTCTCACCCTCAGTTTTCCGTGCTCATTTAGGAACGAGCAATGGGGCAGATAATGGGAAGGGCAGACAGCACACTGGCAGCAGCGGGACTGATCCCATCTGCTATTAGCCAAAGAAAAACACATCAGAGGGAAGTAGCTTTGGGAAAGTGGAAGGTGCCGCTTACCCGAGGGAGTTCTCCGAGTGGAGCTCAAAGAATGAGCACAAGTCCTGGAGCGCAGGATTTATCCGCAGGGAAAGGACAAACGTCAGTAACAAGCACTTAACATCCCAACGGGGATGATTAAAAGCCTCTTGAGGGCTCCTACAGAACCCGGAGCAACGTAGGGACGGCAGCGTTGGCCTCTTGCCGGCCCTGCTGACGGAATATCGGGAAACAAAATCGGAATTTTCTATAGGCAAGTCATGTCGTTATTTCCATGTCTTTGCACTTCCACTCGCTGCTCGAACTGAGCAGCCGTCGGGCAACGGGGGGCTCCTCCCAGAGCTAATTTTTGTCATTTGAACTCGCTAATTATTAATTAGCCACAGGAGTGGGTTGAAAAGCAGAGGGAGTATTTAGGTGAGACACCCGCCCGGCCGGCAGAGAGGAGCCGGTGGCTCAGAGTGCAAAGCGAGATGAGACAGTCCCTGGGAAGTTTCACTGGGCTGAAATAAAACAATCTGCCTTGGATTTTCCGGAGTGGTAAGGAAACGCAGGGTACGATTCCCTCTCCAGGCGCAGAGGCAGACAAGCGCGTTTCCTGGTCATAAATACGTGTATGCACTGGCTGCAGCACCCAACTCAGCCCACCTTAACAAACAAAGCTCCTTCGAGGCCTGGTCCCCTGAAGGCTCAACCTCTGTGTCTGAGCAGATTCAGCTCCTCCCGTAAAATCCACTCCAGCACAAAAATCCCTATCCCTTGCAGAGAGACAATGAGGAAATGGAAGATACAGAGATGAAATCCCTTTAGCGAATCTGTGGGGGGAAGCATGACCCTGCCTCGGTTTCCCCGCTCGCTTGCACAGCCCTTCCCCATCTGCCGCGGTGCCAGAATAAGAGGCTGCCTTCAAAAAAAACCCCAAAAGCAGACTAAATGTCCTCAGGGGACGTGTGCTGGATGGGTTAGAATAATCCCGGCACAGCACGTAGGTAGAATAACCATTCTCAGACCAAAAAATAGTTATTTTTCACTGCTGCTCCGTCTTCCCAGAGGGAACTATGGAATTGGAATGGTATTTAGGCAAAAGAAGACTCGTTGGGGAGAAAGGGCTGTCTGCAGGGGGTCACCACGAGTTAAAGAGAGGAGCAAGAATCTTCCCCAAATGCCCAAAATGCTCTGAATTTCCTGTTTCCTCTCTCAAAGCGAGTCGGGATCTGTCTGAAGTACAGATGACTTCAGGGCAATTCCCAGAACCTGCCAGGGCAGGAAAAGTGACCAGTCAGACTAGAAAGGGAGTGCAAACAACGCCGGGGTTTCCCAGCCCCTCAGGACAGGACAGCGGAGCCTCTGGGCTGCTGCAAGATTTCCCAGTCGCTGGCAGTTACCAAAGAGCAGGAAAAAAAACACCGATGGTGGAAAAAGCGGAGCGGATGATGGAGCTCTACACCTTGTGCAATCTGAGCACCGTCTGTGGCATCCCGAATCCAACCCGCTGCACACAGAGCGTGCCCGCCAAGGCTACAAAGACGGAGGAAGTCTGCCTGGCAGGCAGGAAGGCTCGCTGTGCAGGAGCACTTCTGCACGCAGGAGCCCATAGTCACACGTAGGACAGCCCATAATACCCCTTCCCGTCTTAGGAAACACCCCGCAACCCGTCGCATCGCGGCAGTAAATCAGTTTTATATCGCTCGGTGTTCCTGCCCTGCGATGCCGAGGCGGGAGCGAAGCCAGCAGGTAACTCGGGATAACACCGTTCGCAGCGTCTGAGCTGGAACTTCCACCCTCGCTGTGCCCCCCAGCAACGGCGATGGGGGAAACCCACTGATTTCAGCGGGGAGAGGCGGTTCCCGGGGGTGTCCTGGCCCGCCCCCGGCACTATAAAAGGCGGCAGCAGGTACCAGTGGAGGAGCAGCGCCAAGGAGAGCGGGCCAAAGCGGGGTAAGAGGGACGGGCAGGGTGGCTGGAAGCACGGGCGAGCTGTTGGCCGTCCCCTCGATCTGCAACGCCCCGGGGGCTCGCTCACCCCTGTGGCGCAGTGGTTGTTGCTGCTGGGTGCGAGGGATGCGGGGTGGTCCGGAGGGGTCCTGCGGGCAGCGGAGGGTCCGGGGAATGGCGCTGGGAGTTCGTTGAGGTCCCTTCAGTTCGAGCCAGTGGCCCAAGGCCGGTGGGCAGCGGAGGGGACAGTGGTAAGGCCAGGTTGCTCTCCGGAAGGTTGCCTGCCTTCCCGGGTAATAAACGGGGGTCAGGAAACCAGCGGGAGGGGAGCTGGGCAGCAACGCCGTGAAGAATGGGAAGTGTCCAAAGAGGAAGGATGCACGGGCAGTGACCTCTCCTGCTGCACAATGCCTCGTACAAGCCTCCGGCACCCTACCTCAAAGCACACTTACTCCTTTCCTTACTCGACAGCTAAGGCTGCATACACGGCGATGGGTAAATTCTCGGCAGAGAGCAAACCTCCTCGGGGATGGGATGGTGAGCTGGCCACAGGCTACACGGAGCTCCCCGCCACCTTGCTGATCTGTGGCCAAATGAGGTTTGGAGGGGTCAGGCTTACCTGGGTGTTGTGCGCCAGGACGAGAGG